ACTCCTACAGTCTAGGATCCTGACTCCAGGAATGGTCCTGCCCACAATTAAGATGGATTTTCCCACATCAATTGACCTAGGAGGCCTATCTCCCAAGTGATTCTACATCCTATTAAGCTGACAACATTAACCATACCAGAAGGTAATTAAGTTCCAAGGAGGCCCCGAGGGTGGGGCTCTAATGATGGGTTTAGTGTCTTCCTGAGAGAGACACCAGAGTTTCCTCCCTCTACCAAGCACAGACATAGCAAGAAGGCAAACCAGGAACAGACCCCTCACCAGGAATTCAGTTGGCTAGCACCTTGAACTTGGACTCTGGGCTTCCAGAACTTTGAGAAATAAGGTACCCAGTCTGTTGTGTTTTTCCACAGCATTCAAAGCAGACTGAGACAGAACAAGCTTGCTGTTCTGGGAGGACAGGTTGACATAAGAGTTGGGGTCTACCAAAGAGCTACATAAGCAAAGGATGCCTGGAGTACACCATCAGGGCTGCAAGAGGTCAGGTGTGGTGATGATTTGTTTTTCAAGACAGGGTTTCTCTGTGTACCCTGGATGTCCTGGAACTCACTCTGTAGACCAGGCTGGCCTCAAACTCACAGAGATCCACCTGCCTCTGCCTCCCGAGTGCTGGGATTAAAGGCGTGCGCCACCAACGCCCGGCCAAAAAATCAATTGATTTTAAAATGGACACAAATATCATGAGTAGACATTTTCCAAAAAACATTAGCCAAATGACCAACAAAGAAGTCTATGAAAAAATGATTAATTGGGGAATTATCAAGAACTACATAGGAACCTAGGAAGATGTTGTTTTACCCAATTTAGAATGGCTATTATAAAAGAGACTAAAGGTAGAGCTGAAGAGATAGCTCATTAGTTAAGAGCACTGCCTGCTCTTCCAGAAGACCAGGGTTTGATTCCCAGAATCCACATGGGGGCTCACAACTATCTGTAACGCTCTTTGACAGTTGTGAGCCACCCTATTCTGGGCTCTATGGGTACTAGCCACAAAAGTGGTGCACATATCTACATGCATGCAAAACATCCATCCACACAGAATAAAACTTTTTTTTTTTTTTTTTGGTTTTTCAAGACAGGGTTTCTCTGTGGCTTTGGAGGCTGTCCTGGAACTCGCTTGCTAGTTCAGGCTGGTCTCGAACTCACAGAGATCCACCTGCCTCTGCCTCCCGAGTGCTGGGATTAAAGGCATGCGCCACCAACGCCCGGCCCAGAATAAAACATTTTAAAAATTAAAAAGAGTAAAGTAAGTTCTGGTAAGACAGAAAGGCAATTCTCATATACTGTATGAGGAAATGTAAATTACTGTAGACATTATGGGAATTTCCCTTTGAAAAAAAGCAGAAAAATATCTGATCTAACAACCCCACTGCTGGGAGAGAACACATCTAAAGGAATTGAAATCAGAATGTCAAAGATACACTTGCACGTTATGGCAGCACTGTTCACAGCAGCCAAGGAATAGAACCAGCTTCTGTATCTATGGATGTAGGAATGAGTCAAGAAAATGTGGAGTGCATACCTGTTTTAGTTAGGGTTTTTATTGCTGCAGCAAAACACCATGGCCAAAAAACAAATTGGGAAGGAAAGGATTTATTTGGCTTACACTTGCATATCATGGTCCATCATTGGAGGAAATTAGAACAGAAACTCAAGCAGGGCTGGAAACTGGAGACAGGAGCTGATGCAGAGGCCATGGAGGAGGGCTGCTAACTGGCTTGCTTCCTGTAGGTTTGCTCAGCCTGCTTTCTTATAGAACCTAGGACCACTAGCCTAGGGATGGCACCACCAACCATGGGCTGGGCCCTCCCACTTTGATCACTAATTGATTAAATGCCTTATAGCTGAATCTCATGGAGGCATTTCATCAACTGGGTACTTCTTCCCTGATGACTCCAGCTTGTGACAAGTTGACACACAAAACCAGCCAGTACAATACCCAAAGGAATAGTGAAGAGCCATAGAGAATGACATTGTAGCCTTTACAGCAACACGGGTGGAATTGGATGTCATAATGGGAAGAAAAATAAGACAGCCACAGAAAGACAAACACTGAACATCCTTATATACACATGATAGATAGGAAGTTAATCTCAAAGTAGAGGGGAGAATGGGGAGAGAGGAAAACTAATGGTACTGAGACACAGTTGGGTAGGAGTAACTTACTATGTCCTACCTTGCATAGTGGGATAACCATAGTTGATAATAGTTAATGAAATACTTCTAAATACCTAGTGAAGAGAAACTGAGTGCTCCCAATGCACACCCACAATGCTGTGTGTCTGAAAATTGATATGCTAATTACCCTGTGTGATAGTCAGTTTTGATTGTCAACTTGCTCCAATCTAGAATCACCTGAGAAGGGTCTCAGTGACAAATAGATGTGGGAGGAGTCAGCCCACTGTAGGCAGCACCATTCTCTCGGCTTGGATTCTGTACTGTGCAAACGTGAACTGGAGGAGCTGAGCATAAACATGCATGCCTTCATTCTCTCTCTGCTCTTGACTTCACGGGATTAGCTGCTTCAAGTTCCTGCTGCCTTGACTTCCCCATGAATAATGGACGGTAACTTGGAATTATGAAGTAAAAGAAACCCTTTTTTCTCTGTTGCTTGTCAAGTGTTTTACTACAGCAACAAGATACTAAGTTAGGGCATTCTGTCTGTTCATTATCCATTGTTTACATGAATACACGCATACATGGAAATGTCACATAAGAATGTGTATCATGTACAATTGCTACATGTCAATCAAAAAGAATATTAAAACATGACATAAATTAAATGTTATAGAGTAAAAAAGAATCCCAATTTAAATTACATGTTATAGAGTAGAAAAGCATCCCAATTTAAAATTTTATCTACTATGGCAAGTGCAGTTAAAAATATATATGAAAATGACCAGAAAAAACAACTGAGTGATTTATAGCTGGGAAGTTATGAGTTTTAAAAACTTGTTTTATTTCTATTCTCTTTTACATTTTTTTGGTGAAATAAGATGATAAAAAAAACTCTAGGTGCCTCAAGTCAGATTGAACACAAACCAGTTCTTTACATCCATCCCCCATAGCTCCCCTTAGAGGAACAATGCTGTCCATGTCTCAAGGTGGAGGGGCAGAGGTATTTTCGCTTTCCCAAGTATTCTTTGAGACATGATTTCATGTAGCCCAAGCTGGCCTAAAACACTCTGTGTAACAAGTTCACAGACAAATAAGCCACTGTGTATAGTTTGTGCAGTGCTGGGAATCGAACCCAGGACCTTATGCACACCAAGCAAGCACTCTGCCAATTAAGCTACATTCCATGTACTTTTTTAAATTTTAGATTTACTTATTTATTACTTATTATGCAGTGTTTTACCTGTATGTATGGCTACATGCCAGAAGAGGGCACCAGACCAGATATCATTACAGATGGTTGTGAGCCACCATGTGGTTGCTGGGACTTGAACTCAGGACCTCTGGAAAAGCAGCCAGTGCTCTTAACCTCTGAGCCATCTCTCTAGCCCCCATCTCATGTACTTTAAAAAAGTTTCAAGTCTTCTGTTCCTGTCACTTTTCCAATTCCTATCATCTGCCAATCTTCAAATCTACCTGTCATAACTGATATACTATAGATGTTCCATAATCACAGTGTTAGGGATGTGGTCAAAAGTGTCATAAATAAGATCCACTATTCCCTCCTTAAAGCAGGAAGGTAATACAGGGGTCGTAATCTACCTTAGTATGTCATAAAGAAGCAGGCTTCCTTGCCTTGTTTTACACTTCTTAGCACAGCCTTTCTCAAGGTCTCAAAAGACGGGTACATCTCCTGGTATTGAATGATACGGTTCTAATTATGAAGTAGGGGAAAGTTGAAGGACACAGTTTTCTCCAGGACTTCCTTTATATCCTGAGTCTCTCTTGGAACTTTGTTCTGTGCTTTATGGACTCGGACTTTGTTTCACAGCTAGGCTCTGTCAAGAGGGATTTGCTTTTTGGCCTCGGTAGTGTAGAAAAAGGAAGGAGAGATGCTTGGAGTAATGACTGAGTTTTTAAAAGCACTTGTCAAAATCATGTTTAATTGAACTATATTGTTTCATCTACACACTGTCCCGGCACATCTTAACCACTGTTCCCTTCTTTCTTCCTTTAGCTACTTTCCTGGGGGTAGGCGGGGCTGTGGTTTTGACGACATTCTTGTTTTATCTCTTCCACGACGGTTTCTTCTTCACTCCTGCTGTGCTCCATGGTCTCTAATGAGGGTGAGAGTCACCATGGTCCCTGTTCTTTCCATACAAACATGTGTCCTTTGCACAACTTGACAAACCAATCCCTCCACCTCTGGATTCCAAGGTCAGTCACAAGACCAGGTTCCTCCAATAAAGACTTCACCATCCCTCTTTCCTTTCAGCCTGACACGGAAAGTACCTCTCCACTTCTGTTACTTTCTTCGTGGAATTTGAAATGAAATTATTGAAAGAGGTACTGTTCGCAAAACGTCCGGAACATTGCAGGTGCTTAAACTTGCATGTCTCGCTATTAATGTCTTATCTCCTAGATCGGGTTCAACTCGTTGATGACAGGTTGTGAATCTGAAGTCTGATTCATCCTTTTAACACACACCAGGCCTGCCGAGGGCATTGCCCACAATAATGCTGCGCCCATGTAATAGGGCGCGGAGCACAGGAAGAGCTACAATGCTGGCATGCGAGATATTCCTTGAGCCTGAATGGCAGACGACTTTTCACCGAGAAGACCCTGACTTTTCAGCCAGGGTGCACCGCGATGAGGCAACCGCTCCGACACTTAGCTCCTCCCTCTCCACTGGAGTCCGAAAGGGAGGAGGTGGGTAGCCGCGCTTCGCGCGGCCCTCTGGGACGGCTGCGCACGCGCAGCTTCCGGCTCAAGGTCTCGAGATTTATTTGACGCCACCCGTTCGGCTCCCTCACAAGTCTCGGGTCAGTGGCGCCGCGCAGGCGCAGTGGTCCCTTCGGCTGGGGAATTATTTGACGCCACCGCCCCTGGCAGTCGGAAGTTGCTTAAACGAAGCCCAGCCGGCCGGCCAAGAGACCGGTCTTCTTCGTCCCCCGGCGCCCTGTGAGAGTCACCGACGGGTGGACGGACTGACCGCCAGAGGACGGCCGGCCTGGGTGGTGGCAGCTCGGGCCCGATGGCGCGGGTCGCGTGAGGCGGCAGGCCGAGTGCGGCCCGCGGTGCGCCCGCCCAGCGATGCGGGCCCCGCCCGTCGCCTCAGGTACGCGGCGGCCGGCGCGGCCGGACCCTCCCCTCTCGCTGTTTTTTTTTTTTTTTTTCCTCTCCGCGGCCACTCTGAGACGGGGGCTCTCTCGCCCTCCGGTGCACCCGGCGCCGGGCCTTGGCAAGCTCATCCCTGGGTTCTGAAGCGGACGCGTCGGGCGCGGGAGCGCAGTCCTGGCCCGCGGCTTCTGCCGGGTGTGAGCGAACCCAGGAGGGTCGGACTGGCCGCGCGCGCCCGGCAGCCTGGGGACAGGGGCGGGTCTGGAGTGGTGGCGGCAACTCCGAGGAGAATGCGGTCCCCTGCGGGGCTGGTGGAGTTGTGCGGTCCGGTGAGGATGCTGCTGCCGGGAGCACGGTGTCGCTCGGGGGAGAGTAAACAGCCACCCCTAGCAAGTGCCTGCTGTCAGGCCCAGGCTAGACAGGGAACTTCACCACCCTGCATGAGGACTGTTACCCCATTCTACTGACCAGGCAACCGAGGCCCAGAGCGACCGGGCGCCTTCGGTGCCCAAGGTCATATAACTGGGTAATTTGAACTCAAGCAGCCTTGACAGCCCAGTCCAGGTTCTTAACAATTAGGTCATAGGCTCTCCAACTTTGATGCACGGTAAAATTACTTGGGGAGTTTTGAAAAGATTCCAGGTACCACAGCACCCCAAACTAATTAAACTACCAAGCCTAGAGGGTACGGGGGAGCCAAATACACTATCTTTCTGGAGATCCCCTCGTGGCTCCGGGGTGTAGTAAGGTTTGGCATCTGTGAATGTAGGTAATCTTCATCCCAGAGTGCCTCTCCAGTTTAGGTGGGCAGAAGGATGCTTGTTAAAAGCATGGATTCCATCGGCAGAGATTTATTTCGTTACTCCCCCTCCCCCATGCGCCCTCCTTCTATTGCTGGAACTCTCGGTTTTTCTGCCTCAGCCTGAGTGCTAGGACTATAGCTGTATGCCACAAGAGAGCTTTTCCTTAGGTCCACTGACTCCCACCTCTTTGGTAGGTAGCCAGGCCTCCTTGAGGGTGACAAGTAATTATAAATGCTTAACTGAGCTTTTAAAAAAGATGTATACATCTCCTGTAAAAACTTTTGGTTTGCAGTTTTCCTTAATATGCAGTACTCTGGTTATGGTTTCTTCTGCCTCTGGGCTTTTGAGTATACTCTTCTTTCTCCAAGACAGCCCTCCATGCTTTCTCTGCACTCTACCCAAAAACATACACTCTTCCCCTCATACACATAGTCTTTTTGTCTGCTGCCTAGCTCTCAGCATCCCTTCCCCAACCCCTACCCACCTTCATTTTTCCTAACAGCCTTTGGCACTATCTTAGCGTAGCTTACCACGAATCTTTTTGTGTTGTAGTTTTAGCTCTTCTTTGAGATTTTGATGGGCTTTCAGGCAGGGACCATGTTTTCTTGGTCACTGTTTCTTGGAGTACTTTGACATAGAGGCAGACAAGCCTTTTTTGAATACAGTGTTTTAAGTCCCTTTATGTGACAGATAGATCTCATGCTGCAGAGACTTGTTTCTATTCTTGTAAAATATATTTGATGTTCTTAGCATTGGAGTTTTGTTCTTTTTTTCTTAGGAGTAGTCTAGTTAGGCTTATCCATTTATTCAGCAAAAGAATAAAGTGTTGAATTCTTATCCATGGCAAGACATTATGTGTGACTGTTCCAACAGCATTAGTTAGTTACCTGGGTGAGGTGGTACACCTTTCATCCCAGCAGCACAGAGGCAGAAGCGGGTGGATCTCTGTGAGTTCCAGGCCAGCCTGTTCTGCACATTGAGTGCCAGAATAGTCATAGCTACATATAGAGACCTGCCTCAAAAAAACAAAACAAAACAAAACAAAAAACCCACCCCACCAACACAGAAACAAAGCAAAAACATTGTTTGGGTTTTAATGTTAACTTCATCTCAGTCATTTCTATGGTAGGAGACTTTTTATTGCCATTAGGGTTTTGCACGTGCTCCTTCCTCATCGTCTGAAAGAAGTATCATCTAAAAGCTATTGTCTTGTGAGTATGTATAAACACAAACAGATGGGATAGCTCTCAGTTAATAGTTCATCCCATTCAGTGATCTTATTATGTCATGTCTGAATTGTCATTGCTGCACATGTTTTCCAACTTTAAAGGAAGTCAAGGCAATAATTTACATTGTATTTGTCTTTGGCCCCCCTTTTAAAATTTATTTTTATGTGAATGAGAGTTTTGCCTGCATGCATATGTGTGTACCAGTTGGATTCCTGGTTCTTGCAGAGGCCAGAAGAGGGTGTCAGATCCTCTGAAACTAAAGTTAGAGAATTGTAAGCTTCCATGTGGGAATTTAATCTGGGTCCTCTTTAAGAATAGCTAATAAGTGCTCTTAACCACTGAGTTAGTCAACTCTGTAGAGCCTTGTTCTTGAGTACTCTTGAAGCCATATAAAATTGATATAAGTAAGGAGGTTAAATATTATAGGAAGGTAATTATGAAGAAGTTTGTTTACAATGAAGATTCCCCCCTCCACTTTTTATGTAGGCACTAGGAGTTGAACACAAGTGCTCTATCACTGTGTCTACACACACACACACACACTCACACACACACACTCACACACACACAAGTTTTTCTGAATAGGGTTTCACTGTGTAGCCATGGCTGACCTAGAAATGGCTATGTAGATCAGGTTGTCCTGAAATTTGTCTGCCTCTGCCTTCCAAGGGATTAAGACATGTGCCACCATACATGGCTATATTTTTTACTTTGAAACAAGGTCATACCATGCTACCTGGGTTGACCTTGAACTTATTCTGTATCCCAAGCAGGCCTTGAACTTAAGATCCTCCTGGCTCAACTTCCTGAGTAGCTGGTATTATAGGTCTGTACCAGCATGCTAGATGAGATTTTTTTCCCCAGTTAAATGTGAAGTATGTAGATTGAATAAAAATACATATTTCATAAAATAATTTTTACAGCATAGTATTGTAAGGGGAAGGTTTCTTGTCTCATTTATTTACTGTTTCCTTGGGTTTTAGGCAAAGGCTAATATAGGAGGTGATGGGACATGAGGTGGTAAATTTAGCTGCTCAAGAAACTTGCCCTTGTTTCTCTGATCAGATATGGACAGAGTATCCAGTTCTGGTCTTGGCACATGGAAGAAACTCAGTTTTTTTTTTTTAAGCTTGAGGTTTAAGTCTTTAGTTGACTTCCAGTATATGGGTGAAATGTTCTCATGCTGAGTTAGTGACCAGAAGTAGCTCTAATCACAATAACCTGTGACTTTGGCAAGAATTCTATCTAATTTGAGGTACCTATCAGTATGTTCTTGACATGTACAAAGGTCTCGTAGACAGAATGATTTCTTGTGGTATAAGATAGTTTTAAGTTGGATGTTCTGCTCACATCTGTAATCTTGGCTAAGACAGGAGGATTGGGCAAGTTTGAGGCCAGCCTGGGTTATATAGTGAGAACCTGTCTCACTACCCTCTTCCAAGGTGAAGTTTTAAAATTAGTGTCTGCATAGTTCTATTTTAACTTTTGTAGACAAATTATCATGCCTAAAGGTACGTGGTGAGCTTCTGGCATATCCAGGACTGAAAAATGGACCTTCTCCTGTTAGACTCTGTGTCCTGTTCCATGTCATCCCTGCTGTCCCTCATGTGAGATGTTCTTTTTATTGAAAGAAGATTGGGGATGGGAAAAGTGGACAGATTTATCTGCTGTATTTTAAGTTAACCAATTGGAAGTGTAGTGAATGTTTGGTATGTGATATGCCTTTTGTTATATAAACTGGAGGTACTGAATGTAAGATATAGCTTCTGTCCTTACAAAATTCTATAGTTAGAATTACAGTAAAACTAAAAGTATAGTATCTTAACCATCCCTGTGAAATAGAATTATCTGTCATGTGTGAGCAGTTCAATGCACTGTTTACTAGTTCTATGTGCCTACTAAACACTTTAAATATGATAAGGGAACTGAGTTCTAAATTTATAGTTACTCATGCCAGTAGATATGAAACTGGGAATATTAGGCTAGAGACGATGATAATTGTGTTGGTGCTGACTGGGAGCAGGCAGTGTATTCACATTTTCTTTCATAGACTAGCAAAACCCATCTGTTTTCATCTTTGGGAAGACATACAGGCAGAACCTGTCTCTCCCTTGTAATTCAGGTGCTTGATAGGAACCTGAGCAGTTACTGTCTGGTGCATAGATGAGTTCATTCCTTTTTTCTTTTTTTATGCTAGCTTGATGGATGTCTGCCTTGTGGAGTCGTTGAGACCACAACAGAATTAAGAAATGTGGTCCTTCTGTCCAGTAACACTTTATTTGCTCAGCACGCTGGCACCCTCCCTGTACCCTGTTTTTCTCCAGAGGAACAGGTGTATCTAACATGTACCTTTATTTGTATGTCCTGAAGTGTGTTGACTTAGGCTGCTTTCTTTGATCCTTCCCTCTAGTTACTTTAGATAGGTACTGAAGGTGTTCCCCCTGTTTTAGAGACAGGGAGACTGAAAAATAAACAGAGTGGCTTTTCCAAGGTCATATGGTACAGATTCAGAAGCATTGGACCTTTGAGGCAAGAGGTAGATTTTCTTGTCCCAACATTGCAGTTACTTGATGTGATCCTGAGCAAGTCATAGTCTTATTTTGCTTTCCTAATGACTAGTGAGTCTTCTTTCTAACTTAAGCATCTAGGGTAGTTGTTGTAATAAAATGAATTAACTTGTGAAAGTTCATGGAAATTGATCAATTACAGTTGCACAAAGGCACATTATTATCAGTTAAGATCTCTGGTGGTTCTAATCTGCTGCCTTATAGCTGATTACATCATTGATCATATTAAATGCTGTTATTATGATGATGTCTCATTGATTTCTGTCTTCATCATTATAAAACTTTGCCTTGGGCAGCCATTGTGTTCTTTTTATATCTGCACACTTAAATCCTAGGACAACCTGACGGGTACAGGTGTTTAACAGTATTATTTTAGTGACATAACTAATGTCTAGTTTT